GCCGAGGTGGGGCCGGGGGGCGGCCCCTGGGGAAGGCTAGGCACTCGCCCCTACTCCTGTGCCCGCAGCCTGGGAGGGTCTCGGGCGGACACACGTTCGCTACACACTTATGCGTATCTCCCCGGCCTGCAGATGCCCACGCCTCCCGGCCGTCCCTTCCAGCCATGCGTCCCGCACTGAGGTTCTGTTCATGGCCCCTCATCCCCATGCAATGAGGAGCAGCCCAAGGCCGGGATTTGGAGCCTGGTCTCTGGAGCCGGATGGCCTGGCTCACATCCCAGCCCCGCCCCGCCCCGCCTCTGATGAGCTGTGAGAACTCCCTCTAGGGACATAAGCTCTCTGTCACTTGGTTTCCCTGTTTGTAAAAATGTGTCAAGGTGTGGAGGGTTTAGGGGTAGCAGAGTAGGTGGAGGCGTTGGTGGGACTGGGTGGGTGGAAGGGTAAAGAGGGGACAGGCCTGGCGAGAACAGGAGGGACAGCTCGGGAGGGATCCGTGGGACAGTGGGACTCACACTGCACGTTCAGCTGCACCTGGGCCTCGCGGGGGCGCACGTTGAAGCCATTGTAGCGAGCCGTCTGGCAGCGGTAGGTCCCACTCATGTCGCGGCTCACGCGCTCCAGCCGCAGCTTCCCGTCCGGGGTCTCCTCCACGGGCAGCCCCGAGGGCAGCAGAGCAGCCTCCTTGTCCACGCGGGACCAGAGCACGGGCGGCCGCGGCTTGCCCCGGCTTAGAGGCAGGTACCCCGTGGCCTCCGCTCTGGGGCTTCTCCTTCCCTCTCCCTAGGTGCGACCCTCCCTTCCCCACCCCAGGCGTCCCCTCCCTTCCCCATCCCATGGTCCCCCAGAGCTCAGTTATTCCCCAGCAATACTCACCTCCACAAATCCTCCCACCTCCCGGGTCTCTACGGAGTCTCTCCCAACTCAGAAAAAGAGCTAAATCGTCCCGGCCTATTCCTTCTGCTCCCTTACCCCACCATCACTCCGTTTGGGGGATTCCACCTTTTAAACAATTCTAGTAGTATCTCCTCCCTCGATCTCCCCTCTCCTGGCCGCTGGTCCTGCTCTAGTTAAAGCCACCACCTTCTTTCTGGAGTGTTACCACAGATGGCTAGTCTGTAGCCCCAACATCTGGGTTATAGCAGGACCAGGGCCAGAATGAACACTGTATCTCCCAGCCTGCCTGTGGCTACCATGAGCCTACATTCTGGCCAGCGGGATGTGGCGGAAGGCAAGTGTCTCTAACAAAGAGAAGTCCTGCCACGCTTCTCCTGCCTGCATGCTGGAATGCAGGCTGGAGGCTGCAGCTGGAGCTGCCACCGTGGAGGAGGCGGGAGGCGAGTGCTAAGGAAAACGGAACAGCAAGACAGGACGGAGTATGGGGCCCCGGGGACTTGGTGCAGCAGAGCCACTATTCCAGCCTGGACTGCTCACTTTTGCTTGAAGAAAGAAATACACCGCTAACTTATTCGAGCTACTTTTATTAAGAGTTTTCCTGTTATTCACAGCCAAACCTAATCCAACCCAGCATAATGCCCAAATGGAGGGTCTTTTAAAGGGTTCCATGGGTCCCATCCTGCATCACATCAAACGAATTAAAATGTCCTACATTAAATGTAAATTGCAAATAACTCTACAAGGCATGCTGAGATCCAGTTATCTAGTTAGCATAATTTATACTCTATAAACATTTATACATTTACTGGCTTTAATTTTGCAGCTTTCCCTTTGTATTTTGGCGCCAATTAATTTATTTTTCCAGGTCTAAACCGTTTCCACGGGCCCTTAAAAAGCTTCCATGCCTTGCCCTGGCTGGGTGGCTCAGTTGGTTGGAGGATTGTCCCAAAAGGTCTCCTTCAATTCCCAGTGAGAGCACATACCCAGGTTTCTGGGTCAATCCCCTGTAGGGGTGCATACGGGAGACAACCAATCAATGTTTCTCTCCCTCTCCCTTCTTCTCTCTCTAAAATCAGTGAAAAAACATAGCCTTGGGTGAGGATTAAAAAAATAATAATAAGCTTCCATGCCTTAATTAGGCTTATGAACCAAATGGAGGAAATGGCCCTGTGCTCCATTGGTTTCCATTTATAAAACATCCCAGCTCCCAACACTTCTTCACCCACAGTCCTTCCCCCTTTGAGGCTGTACTGCCCTCAGGTTAAAGCTCAAACTTCTTGGCTCTGTAAGGGAGGCCCTGTGCTCTGGCCTTTGCCACCCCAGTCTCATCTTCCCTCTCCTTTCCTGTGTCCCAGCTGTGGGACCCACTTATAAGGAATATACTCCCTGACAAGCCAAGTCTCATACCCCATGGGTGTTCCCCCCCGCCGCCGTCCCCTCGCCGAGCAAATGCTCACATGGAGCATGGCTCCTCCCTGGCCGCCTGGGATTCCTTCTCGCATGTCCCCAGGATGCTCTGCAGACCTTGCCTTTAGCTCCCTTTCTAAGGTTTGCCCTTCCAATTCCTGCTTTACCCCAACAGATGCCTCTCCCAGCTGGGCAGCGGGCTCTGAGACGGGCTGTGGCATTTGTGTCTGGGTCCCCAGCTCCCCACCCAGGGCCGGCACACAATGATTGGTGAAATAAGTTTGCGGAATCTGTGGAGGCCTGGCCCATTCATAAAGGCCTGCTCCGGAAGCCTTTCCTGACCCCTCCCCCCGTGCGGATGTCGAGATGGAAGGGCCACCAAGGCTGTCTCATCCAATGGCTCACAGAGGAGAAACTGAGACCCAGGGAGTGAAAGAGGCTTCGCCGAGTCAGCCAGCTCCTCGGTGCAATGTGCTGCGGACTGGAAACGAGATTCCAGAAACCCCCTCCAGAGCCATCCCCTCCAGCTCCTGTCATTCTCAAAGGGTAGACCCTTCAGGCTCTGAAGGCAGATGGTCTGGGTTCAAATCTCATCTCCACCACTTACTGCTGTGTTACCTTATGTTGCCTTAGGTAAGTTTTTATTTTTTTTATTTTTTTTAGTCCTCATCTGAGGATATGTTTATAGAGAAGAGGGGAGAGAGAAACATCGATGTGGATGTGAGAGAGAACAACTATCGGTTACCTCCCATATATGCACCGACCAGGGATCAAAACCAGCAACCTAAGTGTGTGCCCTGACCAGGAATTGAATCCTTAACCCTTTGGTGGACAGGACAACAGGCCAAACAACGGAGCCACCCAGGCAGGATGTCTTAGGTAAGCTTCTTAAACTCTCTGAGCCTGTTTCTTTGTCTCTAAAAACTGAAGTTAAATTATCTATCCCATAAGGTAAATCATGAAGGCGAATAAGATAAATATAAAAATCATTAGAACACATAGGAAGTACTCAATAAACGTTAGCCATTATTATTTCATTATTGTTATTTATTGTTATTGGAACAGCGACCCAGATCCCCTGCATAACCTGGCCCCCGCTGGCCTCTGTGCTCTCATTCACCCCATCCCCCCAGCCACGCTGTCCTTCCTTCAGTTCTCCAAACGGCCCCCGCCCTGCCCTGCCTCAGTGCCCTTATTTGCTGATTCCTTGACCTGCCTTTCTCTTCCACCCTCCCTTGCTCTCCTTTGCCTCGTAAGATCCCACCCCTCCCTCCTCAGATCGCAGACCAAAGATTTTATCTTAGCGAACTCTTTCCTGTCTCAGGCATCACAGTTTGCCAGTGGCACATTCATCTGTGAGGCTATCTGAAAAATGTTTGCCTTCCTACTTAGTTCAATGAGGGCAGAGCCTATTTTGCCCACCACTCTACCCCAGCACCTACCACGGTGCCTGGCATAGAATAGGTGCTTGATAAATGTGTGTGGCATGAACAAAAGGAGTCTTTCCACTCTGGCCTCCCTTTCCCAAGCTGCTGCCCCACCCCCACCCCCTGCCCCTCTCCCCTCTGTGGGCCTCTCCAGCTCCTTCACACCTCCCCGCTGCCCCTCCAGCTGCCCACCTGTCTCAGAGGAGATGTTGACTTCGACGCTCAGGTCGGGTACAGGTGCTCCTGGGAAGGAAGCCACACACAGGTAGGTGCCATAGTCGCTGAAGTGCAGGTCAATGAGCTCTAGGCTGCTTGTGACCGCAGGCAACTCAGGGTCGTTTCGGGTCACCAGCAGCCGCTTGGACATGCGTGCCAGCTTGCCGTTCTTGAACCACTGATAGGTCACCTTCTCCTGGGGCACCGCATCCACGTGGCACGAGAGCTTCAGGTCCTGGCCCAGCTGTATGTTCTCACTTTCTTTGATCACGTCTGGGGTGATCTGGAATGTGGCATTCTTCATGGCTGCAGGTGGGTGGGGAGGGCAGGTTGGCTGGGGCTGGCCCAAAGCCAGGGTCATGTCCCACCCCTCCCCAGACCCAGCTCCTCCCCTCAAAGTGGCCCTCCTGCAGGTTGGGA